CCACGGGGTGGCGCATCTTCAAACGCGGCCAGGACACGCGAAAGCAGACCGGCACTGCATGTGTCGTTGCCCGGTTGAAAGGAAACAATGGCCGGCGCAAGAAGTACAGTCCTGACGAGGTAGAGGCTCGCATCAAGAGAACACCGCTGCAACAGCGACAATCATATCGTGCTCTCGCCGCAGCCCCCGGTCTGTCCGTCTTCCTGCTGTGGACGTACGTCAAGCAGAAGTGGATGACACGACGCTCAAGTTGGACACGGCCGTGCCTGAAGGACAACCAGAAAGAAGCCCGGGTGAAGTTCTGCGAACGATTTCTGACAGAGAGTGGTAAAGTAAAGGATATGTATCATACCGTTCATGTCGACGAAAAGTGGTTCTATATGACCAAGATCCGCCGACACTTTCTGATTTGGAGTGAAGAGCAACTGATCCAAAGACACCTCCAATACAAGTCGCACATAACCAAGGTCATGTTCCTCTGTGCGGTTGCGCGACCAAGAAATGGCTGGGACGGATGACTCGGATGCTGGGAGATTGTGGAACGCACGTCGGCCGTCAGGAAGAGTCGCAACAGGCCTGCGGGATCTGTAGTGTTAAAGAGCGTGGTCGTAACGAAGGACGTCTACCGCCGCAATCCTCATCGACAAAGTTGTACTCGCGATCAAGTCGAAATGGACGTGGCCGCTTGGTGTCGATGGTGGTGACATCGTCATCCAGCAAGACAACGCGCGGCCTCACATCGGCCTGGACGATGCCGAGTTTGTCACAGCCGGTGAAGAGGCGGTTGGACCATTCGCATCCAAAACCAGTACGCAAATGGTCTTGATACCATGCGGCTGCCAATCCTCGACAATTGGCTACGATTAGGGCAATGCAACGCTCTTGTGTTGCAGGGTCTTTGCTGGGGATTCAAATTTTTTGCCTTGAAAAAGGTGTTGACTTGATGTATATAGAGGCTGATACTCTCATCCATTCTTCCGTGATACTTGGGCATTATAAGGCCTTCTACTTTGACTTCTTGTGTCCGAGCAGCGCGTTCATTTGCTGCTTGCAGGGCTTGGACTTGCATGTATAGTGTCTGCGCGGCTGCTTCTATTATGCGCTCTTGGCGTTCAATTTGTCGTAGCAGTGTTTGAAGTATTTGTTCCATTGTCTCTTGTTTTTTCTCTTTTCTTTTCTTTTTCTCTCTTTTTCTTTTTGTTTTCTCTCCCCTTTTTACTGAATTTCTACTCTTTCTTTACTTTCTTGTTTGCTTGCTCGCTGTCTTCTTTATCCTTTTTGCGTTCTTCGGCCTTTTCTCTTCGTATTTCGCATTACTTGGCCACTTGACGGTCAGTAGTTCCAAGAATTACTGATTCGATGCTTGTGGTTACTTGAATAGCCAGGTCTGTAATAAACTGCAGACTATTTCGAGCGTCCGAATCGCTTGCTTCGGGTATAACTTGACGAAGCCGGATAATTACCTTGTGCCGATTGTCGGTTAAGCGGTAAAGGTCTTGGCGCAATTTACGCACTGTATTTGCGTAACTGGCTGGAAAGAGGTCGGCGATATCGGTGGTACAAGGTGCCTCAGGGACACGCGTTTTTTGCGCGTCATCGACCGATTAATCTAAGACTGCGTATGGATTCGGAACCTCAGCTGCAATGTCTACTCCTTACGACGATTGCGGAACAACTCCGACGAGATTAAGTCCAGCAGCCCAACCGATGGAGGAATTGCGTGATGCTGAGTTTCACGACCACACAACCGCTCAGAAAGACAGTCAATAGCCAAGAAGTGCTACCAAATGTAACACTGCTCGGCGCTGGAGGAAGCGGGGAAGGAACGAACTGTGCGAGGCGAGGCAAATTGTAGAATGA